CGTTCATTTGAGGAATCAGGCAGCATTTCCACACCCATTCTTCATTCCAAGGATGGATATTCAAGAGCGTTATCAAGCTTTGCAAGTCGGTCAATCGGTTTTGGACTGGTGTTCCTGTTAAGCAAAGCACGAACTGCTTGTGAAGGTTCTGAATGCTCTGTGTCCGATTTGTTATTGGATTCCTTATTAAACTAAAATCCTCAATGTCAGTCGGCAGTATTTGGAATGCTTCCATGTGTGATTTCACTCACTGTGCCTCGTCCAAGACAACTCTGAACCAAAAAAGGTCGAGAGATTCAATTGTGAGTTGGTGGTGATGTCTCTTGTTCCCACTTGTTGTAATCATTTCGTACGTCGTCAAGATCATCATGCTAGACTGCAGGTCTTCTTTAGTCATTTTCTTTCGATCATCCCCATGGAACACCTTGTAAGTAATTGCATGATTGTTGAAATGAAGGCTGATTTCGTTTTGCCAGTTGGATAGCGTTGCCAGAGGGCAGATTACTAAGGTAGCCGAAGATCGGTTTTCGGGATCGGCCTTTCGAAAGCGTCTTCCTTCTTCACATGTAGCCAATATAAAAGCTAGTGTTGTTAACGTCTTCCCTAATCCCATATCATCAGCAAGTATTGAACCTTGCGACCTGTCATCTTCGGGGGGTTCTGTCTCGCTGGACACAGACTCTTCGTCAAAGTAGTGACGAAGCCAGGCGTTGTCGTCGTGGTACCACAAGTCCTTTGTATTGTTGTTGGGATGCTCGTTCCTCAGTAGAAAGCTGAGGGCAGATAGTTGATGGGATTTCAGATTTGTTCGGCATTGTCGAAGTGATGCAGAAAGTGTTGGGGGTGGTCCGGCAAACGGACTGTTGGGGGAGATTCGAGAGGTGAAGTGCGGAATTTTGAAGAAAACATCTGGGTTGTAGTTCCAAATTGGAGTGAGCTCGACCTCCGAAGCTGCAAAAGCTGACTGTACTTCAGGTATCTTTTCGGATCGGCTGAACACACAGCCCCGTAGCTGAGGTGTTATGCAATTCTTTGTTACAAGAAATGCACGCAATTTGACTAGAGCCACTTCATTGGGGGGGATTTCCAAACAAGTAACTGGAGTTGAACAGCTTGAGACGGGCCCTAAAAGTGGACCCAAGTATTGGCTCTGTTTTTCACTCAGATCACCAAATCGGGTGCGTGTTTCACAATATATGTGGACTAGTTTGTGCCCTCGTTGTAGGAACACAAGCTGAGGTAAATCATAAGTGAGGTTTACAGGACTGGGGAGGCTTACTGGGATGATAAATTGACCGAGACAAAAGGTTGAAGACATGCCTGAAGAGTGATTGAGATGTTATTCTGAGGTGGGGAGAATGACGGGTCATGTGTCCAGGTTCCAGCAAGGCAGGAACAGGAATATGATTGATATTTTCATATCAACCAATCCATCCTTCTACTTGTTTGGCTATTTTATTTGGGCCCCTAATTTTTCCATAATGTTTGAGGCTGTATGGCTGATCTGTGATGGCACAGCTGGATATGCAAGAGATATAGTTCCAAGTTTAAAGGGTTCACTATCGTTACCCCTAAGACTCCATCACCCCTCATTCAGCGGGCATATTGGTGGACACTCACACACAAGCATATTCTTTCTTGGAGCTTGTACATAGGCAATGTTTACAATCTACATATGGGCATGTCCCACACCAGGTTGTGATCGATCTGACATCCAGAAATTCAGAACCTTAAATTGAGGGTAAAAAGAGGGGTATTTCACATAAACAAAACTGCCAGCTACCCTAGCTTTTATTCCCATTGGGGATAAACAGGTTTGTAATTCTGTCCCAATATAAGCAGTTCCTTTACAGGTGTTATACTGGTAACTGTGTCGAAAATGAGCCATCCTCAATGTAAAAACATGCTTTCAATGTTTACAGAAGCTGTAAGGAGCAATATCAAAATTTGTATAAGATTAAGACGGACTTGAACAAGACTTCAGCATGAATTTAACTAGCATAAGTAATAGTTAACTCTAAATAGTTACGTATCATTTCACAAACATCTTTTTCTACAGTTCTTGTTCAATAATGAAATAGTTCAGCAAAACATTGTGATAACATCCAATGCACTTCAGACAAAAACAATTGCAGAATTCAGATATGGCACTCCCTGGGGAGTGCCCCCAAAGCTCCCCTGGTGCAAGCCGACTTGTTCAGTTTGGTGATTGTCTGTGGGGGTGTTATATGGTGGGGTCGGGGGAGGCGATGGCGGAAGTGGAGGAAGTTTTGACAGTCAACGGAAGTCTAGTTTCCTTCGGCGGTCGAGGATAGAAACCGGTTTGTGGCGTCGAGTCGGAGGAGGCAGCGGTCCAAAAAGGATGTCTTTCGTCGATGCACGAGCATGTACCATAGAAATCGGGATGTGATGGCTAGTCCCCAGGAGGGGTCTGGTGTGGTACATGGTATCTATTTTCTTGCAAAAATGAACAGGTACCTAGGTATAAACAGGTACCTAGGTCCGAACGAACGATCTCTACACAAAACACCATAGAATTTTTTAGAATCAGAATATTGTTTTTCAAGGATAAATACTAGACAGTGGAGAGAATATCTCTGTGAGTACAAGTCAAGAGGTCAAGGGGCAGCTACCTAGATCATAGATGGTCAAGAGAATCTCTACTGTCTAGATAGCTGAGCAAAGGATAAGGCTAAATACAACTGAGACCGCTTATGTCATCATCCGTAACAAGTTATTGTGAAGACCAACGGAGGGGGGGGGGTTACAGTTTCAAGGGAAAAAATATCAAGGATATCAAAGGATAAGCAAGGAACTATGGGACCCTCCAATGCAGAAAAAATGGGCAGGTGTCCAACCTTCATGGGCAAGACAGTATTTATAATTTAAATTATGGGTCTTAGTTAAACGACTCCCAAATATTGGAGTTCCGACTCCCAAATACTTGGGACGTCGCTAAGACCCCCTGCGGACGGTCCGCAGGCCGTCCACCCCCGGAGACGGGAGTCGGACCTCCCAAACCTTCAACAGGTTTGGGAGTTGATCCTCCCAAGAAAAAATAAAATAAAAAGATAAAAAATAAAAAACCCCGGGGGTTTTTGGG